ACCTCCTGCTGGCCCCACTAACACCTCTTCCAGCATCAACCTTAGTTTTTCCCAGGAGGTCTCCCATCCAGGTACTGACCAGGATCACACCTGCTGAGCTTCAGTGGGTTGCCAGTTGTGAGTTGCAGAGTGACATTATCTGCCTGCAAAGTCCCTGGGTGTCAGAGATGGCATCCATAAGGCTTTATTCTGAGAAGCGTAATTCTAGAAGCCGAAGTTCTTCTCTGGCATGTAGACACACACACAACAGCATGCCCCCCTGGCCAGAGAAGAACGTGTGTGTGTGTGTGTGGGGGGGATAGAATTTATAGCCCCAGCTTGTTCTCCACACTGGGCCTCTGGGAGGGACTTATCAGCAACAGGATGAGCCAAGATGAAGGCAGTAATATGAACTACATAGCACTCAACAGAGACAAACAGAAACAAGCAGCCGAAATGTTGTGTTTCCTTTCTTCTCTTTTCAGCATGGAATAAACCTATTACTTAAACCTTTACTTGTTCCTTTGCAGCCTACGCATGCTGACGCAGCTATGTACTTGAATATAAACGCCATCAACTAAAGCAAGGGAATGACAGGTGTGACAGAGGAGATTAAAAAGTGCTGTCACTCCCAACAGAAGACCCCTTGTGTTTAACTGCAGTTAGGTGCAGGCAGGCTGGGCTGATACTCACAGTTGATGCAGATAATTTTGATCATGGTGAGTGTGAAGAAGCTGACCGGAGAGAGAGAGATCTTGACCACCGCTGCTGTCAGCACGAACACAAACAGAATTACAAACAGGCTGCCCATGATGCGCACCTTCTGTGGAATCCTAGGGAAAAAGACCACAAGATAATGTAACACCTCTCCTTAATAGCATAGGCATCAGGGATAGCAGGAGTTGCAGATATTTCTCAGACATCTGACACTAAATCTCATCTCCCCCTTTTTAATAAATGAAGTCACCATTGTCACTTTCCTACCCTAATGTGCAATACATGATTTACAACCTCTTGTGATAAAAAACAGAAGTCATTAACCTAGCCAGCACACAGCCTCAACTATTACTGTTCTACTCTTTGGTAAAAGCAATCTACTGTTATGTGATTCACGGGAAGAGCATAGGAAGCTCCTTACTTCTGGTGCAGGAAGGAGTTGAGGCAGGTGAAAAGCAGCAGAGGCAGCATGGCGCACAGGGTCATAAAGTTGTTGAATTTCGCCTCCAAGTAATTTTGGGCCACCCCATCCGTCAGGTTGCCTGTGATGTTGATTGCCACCTCATCTTTAAGCCGACTCGTGAAATACTGCAAAGTAAGCAAAATGAGGAACTAGGGCCAGAAAATAGTGTTTAAAACAACTGGAAAGGCATAATTGGTTCTTCCCACTTGTTTAAATGAAGCAATGGCATTTCATCTCAAAATTATTCCACACATACTGGGGTCAGCACTGTAGTAAAGCCACTCCAGGCAGGGCAGATTAAAGAGGACCTCACTCCTGGTCAGAACGGAAATGGCTACAATAAGCCCAATAACCAGTCAGCATGTTTTGGGATATGGGAGGAGATGGATTAAACAAAAAACAATATGAACATGGAAATATGCAAACTCCACACAGGTGTCCCTGCCCAGAATTGAACCCCAGGCAACCCCTATTGATGCACCAAGTTTAATGCACTATTGTGTGAACATTTAGCCTCTTAATTCCTCCCCAGTCATTGTGAAAATGAGATGACAAATTGCTATAAACTGCCAGTTTTTCTTTTCCTGTGCAATGATAGAGATGTGTGACAAACCTAGTGGTGGAAGGATTGACTGGCTATAGATCGGAAAATCTGCCATTTCCCGTTTTAAATATGTGATCGGCCGATGTTCCTTTCTTTTGACTGATCTATGACGCAAAATATTTGAACCAAACTTTCGCCATGTACCTTGGAATGAAAACATGTCATCCGTCTGCCAGTTTTTTTAAATATCTGATCCAGATCAAACCAATGCTATTTACAATGTTTGTAAAACTAACGTGTCTTGTGGGGGGAGCAACGATAAAGAATTTTAATACAACTAACCTGATATGACACTAAAGAGCAAATCACCCGACTGAGTACAGTGAGTATCAGAAACTAGCAGAGCTATGTAGAAACCAAGAGATTCGAGCCTGAAGTGTCCGTTTGTCAAGCCAAGCTTTATTGTAGGCATACAAGGAGCAACACATTTGAGGCTTATTGTTGTGTAGCTCAAAAGGGGATATGGCTCTACACAGCTTTTATATACTTTTCTCTACACCCTCCCCCTCCTGTCTTTCAGGTAGCTGTCTCAAGAAACTGCAGGACTCAGAAAGCACTTAAAACATTCCCTCCTTATCAAGGTGTTTAGTATAAACATTCCCCCATCAGGAGTTCAGTACAGAGAGGGAGAAGCATCTGTGCTTAAGCAAGCGTGAAGGTTAGAGTTTAGCATGTGAATTCAGCAGGAGTTCACAGCTCCTACCACTATATGGGTACAGAATATCATACATATTCTGATAGCAGGCTCAATCAGCTAGGAAAGATGTACAGTATAAAGCTACAACGACATTAAGTCAGTGCAGGTGACATTTGAGAGATACCAAAAGTACAACAGCAATAGCCCGAAAGCAAACTGAATCCCTTCCAAAATAATGCAATTTATTGCGCTAGATAACCAACCATTTTCGGTTGTTGAAGATGTAGGATTCTGCCACTTGATATCTCACCTAGAGCCACACTATGCCATTCCCAGTCAGAAATACTTTTCAGATAATGGCATTTGGTCATCTTCATTAGATAAAAATTGTTAGACTGCAGCTTGTCACTTCATGTGAGTTGGCTGCATCAATCGTTGTCTTACTTGTTGATAAAACAATTTGAGCTTATACCATCTTTTGTGTCTTTGGCTGGATAGTAACACACCAACCCCCCGCCCCCGGATCGTATCCGTATCAGCCAATCCTGCTGACAGAAAATCAGCGATTGGTACGGGGCTCACAAAACGATGATTGGTCCACCTCTAGACAAATCTTTTGAGGTTTAATAAAACTAGTCATGTCTTTGTGGAATTAAGGAATTTTGTAACGCACTTCTTAAAAATAAAAGTCTTATCAAATGGGGAAAAACCCCAAACTCTCAGATACCATTGTTGCAGTCATGAAGAAGTTCCATGGCAGAAGAGTGCCCAGCCCCAGGATGAAGAATATCAGCCACACAGCTCGGTACCTGGAAACAGCAACAGACAGGGTGGCAGACAAGAACCCTACTTCTTTGCACTCAGACGTGCAAACAGAATTGAAACTAAAAAACTGATAAAGTACTTACTTGTCCTTTGGAGGATTTATTGATGTCATTATGTCTTGGGTTTCAAATATCCACAATGAACCTGACAAAGAATGGTTGAATAGTTATGAACTGTGCAAATTTCAAACCACTGGCAAGCATACAGCTTTCCCGAGTCCCATTCAACAATTGCAAACACCCTGAATCCAGACCCAGACTAGCATAGTGAAGATTAATAGTAAATACAACATTCATTTTCTGATGATCTTGTCTGTTCATTCAGACTGACACACCTGAAGAGGCTCCACAGCTAAAACTTTTTTTTAATTATGTAGAAAATAACTTCTACATGTTCCTCTGCAGATTCTTACATTAGAATGCTTATGAACGGCAGACCATCTGCATGCATTAGTAACCACTCGAGAACATGTTATGAATACAGCAAAGCTTTGCTTTAATACAAGTCTTCATATAGCCACCTTAATGATAGTACTACTGGAATTATTAATTTACATTTAGAACTATAACAAAAAAGGATTTACTGCATATAATACATATTCAATGCTGTATCTACATAGTAGATTAAGCTCAGGACAAGGTCTTTGATTGTGAGCTGCACCAGGTGTCATGGAAGAGAGAACTGCAGACATCATGTATGCTTACAAATATTTTTAAATTAATTTCCAGAATGAATGTACTTAGTCTAAAAATCTGGGAATAAAGTTATCAATGCATAACTTGCATTCTGTGTAACTTATCATAACATATTATGACAATAATACATAACATACTACTTCAAATATTTAATGAACAGCTTAGGAAATTCCACACAGCAGAAACCAGCATGGATGTAAATTCAAACCGTTGTCTCGTTAATTAAATCAGACAACTCCAGTTTAGCTGGATGAGTGCCTTTCCATTGTAAGCCTCCTAACTAAGCGCACAGCTGGCTGCTGAACACCTGCCTCCCTGTCAGCATAAAAAGAGAAGGGAACCGGAGAGAACAACTCTCTCCACTTCACTCTAACAGTCTGTTTGTTTAGAAATTAATGAGTAATTACTATTGATCAAAGTATCTGAACAGCAAACTCTTTTGAAAACATGAATGTTCAAATCTATTCTAGACCACACAATTTCTACTATTCTTATGGTTTCACATTTTAATCAGACGGACTGCATTCCTTCAATCCCGAAAAAGTTATTTTTTTAAGAGAATCAAAAAGATTACTGGTATTTGAAGATTCAAATGCCTTTTCTACATTTTTTACAGTATAGCTAAAACGCACAACTCATATGCAAAACAGGAACTGTTTGTAGTACAATTTCAAACGCCAACAATGCAAAAAGGAGAACAGAAGCTTAATAACACTTACTTACTGCAGAGGTTCCACCTTACTGAAGCCCTTCATAACTTAAGAAATGAGAAGAATCAGCCCCATTTATACAGTACATACTTCTGATGACACCTCTCCTTGGGCCCCTTTCCAAGAAAAAACAGCCTCTTACACAGCAGAAACACTGAGCACATTTCTGTTCCTGATAACTCAGCTTCAGTCCACTAGATACAGGGTGTCATGAAGGAGGCAACAAGCAGCCACACACTATGGACTTGTACCTTCTGAAATGGCAAACATTATAGCATGGGTGACTATGCTATATGAAGACTTCACACGAGATTTTAAAACCAAAACAAAAACAATCTGACTTGATTTAAAGACATTTACATTTATTTCTTCTAATGTCTTTGTGTTCTTCTAATGTTAAACAAACTTACTTAAAGTAAACAAAATTCTCAAACTTAAGTTTATGAATCTCATTGAAACGCTTATCTCAAAGATTAAATTAATTCCAATAAACTGATTTCTATAAATTCAAGAACAAGCCATTCCAACAGTATTAATTTCTAGTCTTTAAGGTTTGGAGTCAATTAGTTTTCTTCTTTAACCCCTGAGTCTGAAAGTACCCTTTGGAAAGCTGTCCGTCACCATTGTGCTGGTGACACGTAGCCTTGCACTGACCACACTGACCCCACTGCAGGCTCACAGGCACAGAGCAGGGGCTGCTTCTGAACAGGAGGATACATTGCCACCACTGGGGACGAGGAGCTGGTGGGAGTGGTTACTGTACTGGGACTCGCACTTTATCTGGCAAAGCCACCCAGAAGGCTACATCCAGCAGCCATATCACCCTACAACTCACAACTGGCAACCCACTGAAGCTAAGCAGGTGTGAGCCTGGTCAGTACCTGGATGGGAGACCTCCTGGGAAAAACTAAGGTTGCTGCTGGAAGAGGTGTTAGTGGGGCCAGCTGGGGGCGCTGTCCATGTGGGTCCTAATGCCCCAGTATAGTGATGGGGACATTATACTGTAAAACAGGTGCCGTCCTTTGGATGAGACGTAAAACTGAGGTCCTGACTCTCTGTGGTCATTAAAAATCCCAGGGTGTTTCTTGAAAAGAGTAGGGGTAACCCTGTCATCCTGGCCCAATTTCTCATTGGCCCTTACCAATTACCAATCCTAATAATCCCCCTCTATGAATTGGCTACATTACTCTGCTCTCCTCCCCACTGATAGCTGATGTGTGGTGAGCGTTCTGGCGCACTATGGCTGCCGTCGCATCATCCAGGTGAATGCTGCACATTGTGGAGAGGAGTCCCCATTACCTGTAAAGTGCTTTGAGTGGAGTGTCCAGAAATAAGTGTAAGCAATTATTATTATTATTATCCACAGTCAAGAGAAAAAAACATGCAGACTTATACTTCTCCAAAACAAGCAATTCTACTTACTACACCCAATCATGTGTGCCAATGCCCAGGACAGTGTCCCAACAAACAGGTTTGATGGACATCCTGTAAAGGTTTGGTTATTCTACCACTTTCAGTATCATGGCCAATCTGCTCTCTCACTCGGTGGGTTTTATCAATCAATGCAGGCAACACCCACCACAAAGGTAGACAACTTGGCCCTACTATCCAGGTGTTAATGTGTACAAAAGAACACACTGGCCACTATGTCTAGATAATCCATTCATAACCAGGTACTGGAGAAACACATGTAATTACAGCGGCTGAAAATCTTCCACTGGTAGGCTTGATATGAAGTGGAGATGCACTAAATTCTTGGCTTTGGGAGAATAATTCCCAGGGATCCTTATTTCAAGGTGTTCCTGAAGCACCAAAGAGCTGCCATACTGTAAATCTTGTTAGTCCTTCAGACCAACATTGATGTCAATATGCAAGAAGACCAAAAGCTGCTGCATTATCATTATCTCTAAAAACAATACAGTATACAGATTAGGCAGTTATCATGAGTATTTAAAAAGTTAAGTCAACATAGTTCAGATTTTAAGGTCCTGGCTGTTACGTGAAAAATGTGTTCCAGGTTTCAACTGTTATACCCTATGTCCAGAATGGTGTGATGAACCAAGTTAATAAATGTACTTTCAAAGGGGCTTTCATTCCTTTCAAGGATCAACCGTGTCCAGAATGTTCAATAGCCAGGGGCTTTAAGTGTGCAGTTGTCTCATTTTGTAAACAAACCCTTGACTTGTACTCCTTTAGGTCCACACGTACACTAACAGAGTCCAGACATCTGTTTTCAGTTTTATTACACAACACTGTGCTTTTCTCAGAAAAAAAACATGCAATGTAGGATTCCTCCTAAATCCTGATGTCAGCTGCTGAAATGGAAAACTCGGTTATCTAATCCTTCACCTTTCACTGGAGGGTTCTTGTTAATACCATTTTGAAAGATGCTGTGTTACAGATAAAAGGCACATGACTGGTAGTAGTGCTGGGAGGTTAATGGATGCAATGCGAGGCAGATAGCAGTCTTCTGTGTCTGAGCAAATGTTTGAATAAACTGACCAAGGGAACAAATTAATACAGATCTACTGTAATGGCTGCATCTACCTGTATTTCACCTGCAAGAAAAAACACGAGTGATCCAGAAGTAAGAAAAATATGTTCAGACACCTGGTATGGTGTGATTATGTCAGAATGCAGGAATATGCCTGTGTATAATTATGTGTTGGATTAAACTAGAAAAAAAACTTCCTTCACAATCCAGAGAAACAAGCACTATGCAAAAAAATTAGAATAATAAATGCCAACATGCAAACTAATCAGATCTAGTGAAAGTGGGAGTCAGAAATTACTGATCTATACACATTTAATCTGAAGTTAATGCTATCTTATAACTGTATTATAAATGCAAAGTAAGGTGATTTTATACATAGATTAATGTAGATGTACTTCAGTCTATTTTCTTTCAAGCTTGACTTGGTCAGTCATTGGTTCCCCAGTAGATAAAGTTTGAAAGCATTGAAGAAGCCTTGTAATGTTATACTGGACACTCCAGGCTACAATGGTCACTCCAGTTAGTCTGTTTATTCTAGGTCCAGGATCTGGTATTTGAAACCACAGGAAAATCTATATAATAGCTTACATTTTCACATTTGGAGCCCTCTAATGTCCCATGTGAACTTCATTAAGTTCCAGTAACTCCTGGGTAGAGCACTTCATTGTGGTGATGTGCACAGTTGGGATTCACACAGCCTAATCCCAAATGTTTAAATTCCACAAGACAGCTGGAGTTTGTTAAGATCCTGTCACCTGACATAACTATGTATTAAGATTACTGTTCTGACATAAGGCAATTTTGTACCATGAAATGCAAGGCATTAAGCCTGCACCAATCTATATTTTACTCCCATACAGTTTTATATTTTTATGACCCTATGTATTATACATTTTCCAGTCTGAGGTAGTGTGGGGGAGTCTCAGACTAGAGCAGGTAGCTAATGGAGCAGTACAGAGATGTGAGTATTCAGAAAATTTTAAAAATCTCAAACAGCTAAAACAAATTTTAAACATTTGCTAGTTCTAATCACATACTAGGGCATTACCTTTCTCTTTCCACCACATTTACAGAAGATGCATAAAATGGATTTTTGTGAGAAACAAGCAACACATCCAAATTCAGCTCAGAGAAACACTTTCAACAGAAGAACCCATCCAGACCATCAGTATGCTGCTGGGAATTTAAGTTTTGGGTCTGTTTTGTGCCTCAGGACCTGGACAGCTTCCCACCATTGAAGGGACC